GAACAAAAGAAGTTGGAGTAAGAAATTAAAGCAAGGAGTATACCTTAAAGATGAATGGTTTTGTTGGCCTTTCCCTCCTACCTCACTGCCCAGCTACATTCTGTGATTGGTGAAAACACCCTGAAATAAAGATAATTTTAGGAAGCTGAGAATGTAGATCAAGGCATGTGATTTTAAATATTTGAAATGTATTTTTGACTGAGGCAATACACACCTGACTTCTGGTGACATTTAGGCAGAAGGCACCTAAAAAAGTGTGTATGTGAAGTTCATCGTGTAGCACCTGATTCAGGAGACTCTGAAGTTCATAGACTACAGTATGCTTTGAAGCAAGAGAGGAAAATAGTGAAATATTACAGGATTAAAATATTATAGAAGTAAAATTGCTCTGAATTACCTAAATGTGAATTTGATGGCTCCGGTGAAGATACTCTCTGATACTTTTGTGTGACTGGGGAAAAGCTTTGATCTTAAAGTGTTAAGTTGTAGAAGGCTTTTTATTACTGCTGTCTTTGTGGTCTGTAGTTTGAAGCGTATGCAGAGGAAACAGGTAACTGAAGTCTTGGTATCACAAGGAAAAATGAACAGTGTTGACTTTTGGTAATTGAAAACTTTTTGGTCCTACAAGTGGATACACTTTAATGAGATGGTCATCTGTTTTATCCAGCAAGCTGAATTTCTGCTCAGGGGAAACTTCTGAATGCTGATACGCAAAGAGAAAAGGATTCTTAGAAAAGCTCTCAAAATGTTAACAAACCTACACATCTCTAATTCATTCTGGGGTTTTGCACATGAAATTAGAACATAATCATCTCCACGTTTTATATAACTTATTGCAGCTCTTGATAATATTTCATATTGATTGGATGAATATAAATGTTTCCTACTTAAATCCTCTTTGCCTTAAAATGTGTGATTTTTAATCGTTCAGAGTTTTGTGCAAATCAACTGCCCCTTATTTACATCTTGGCTTATACAAAGAAGTTGGTATTTGTAAGAAACTTCTGTTCATAGTACTTAAACAAGGCTGTATGGCAGAGATCTCATGTTAACTGTAATTATAATAGGTAATTAATTTGTTAATTGATTTACTGAATTTGCAGCTGGTCACATTTTTTTCAAGTACTGAAATGAATATTGTGAATTGTTCACTCTTACAACCATTATGAGCATTTTATGTTGAACAAAGAATAAAAAGAAATCATGTAATTCTTTAAATATTTATAAAGCATTTTTGATGAGTAGACCTTATTTCCATGGTGAATTTTTACAAACATATTCTTTTTGTCTATTTTCAGTCCCCTGCACATAGCTATTCAAGCTATGACTCTGGCAAGAATGAGAGTGTAGGCAGAGGTGCTGAAGATCTGTCTCTGAATCGAGGAGATGAGGATGAGGATGACCATGATGAGCAGGAAGATCCTGAGAAGGTTAATGAATCAGATGGGGTAGAAGCTGAGCGACTGAAAGCTTTTAACGTAAGTTCTCTTGCAATCATTTTCTTGTTTATTGCTACTATTCCTTTTACGTTGTTATTTATGGGTAAGTTTGACAATATTAAAGGCACATTAATTTGCAGGATTTATTTCAATTATTATTTTAATGTACATTAAACTCTTGCCAACAAACAACAGATTTACTGTGTTTTGTTTAGAATTTTAAGGCAGAGTGCCATCTTTACCAGTGAGGAAACCAAAGCTTTGTTCTGTGTGTGTGCGTGTGCGCCTGTGTGTGTGGATGTGGATGTGTGTATGTGCATGTTCACCCGCTGAATGGAAAGGGGCTGTAGCTAGTTTATCAGAAGACCATTCCGGTGGTCAGCTGTTCTCTATTGCTTTCCCAATGTATGTAATTATGCATGAAAACACAAGCAATTGTTCAAACAAAGAAAAAGTGAGAGTCAGTTCAGTAAAATGATTAGCAATCACAGCTTATTGTTAATAATGAAACTTAAGTAGTGCCTATTTTCACAATCTGTTCTGGTTTATCTCACAAGTTCTGTATCCTATAGACTATTCTTTTCTTGTCTTTTTTTTTAATCAGCCCTCCCCCCACAAATAACCCTTTAAAGAACTGTTTGCTTAATATTTCTGGCTTCCCATTACAAAGCTCTTCAGTGGATAGAAAAAATGTCTTCCTATCAGTAATCAAGACAGGAAGCTAGGAAGAGAAGAGAGCCGCCCTCCAAACCCATCTCCTCTGTCTCCCTCTTGCCAACAGATGTTTGTCAGGCTGTTTGTAGATGAAAACTTGGACCGAATGGTCCCAATCTCTAAGCAGCCCAAAGAAAAGATCCAGGCTATCATTGACTCATGCAGGCGACAATTCCCTGAGTATCAAGAGCGTGCCAGAAAACGCATACGTACTTACCTCAAGTCCTGCAGGCGGATGAAAAGAAGTGGTTTTGAGATGGTGAGTTTTGATTTAAAACCCAGCCCTAGTTTCCATCAAAACCCCATATGTAAATCCATGGCACTATTTTGTTTTCATCTTAGTGTCTTTTTTTGTTTGTTTATTTTTTTGGTAATACCAGGTCAGAGGTTTCTTTTTCCCTCCTTCATTCTTTCTGAACTTATTCCCTTTGTTTACTGATTTAAAAATGCTTTGAGACATGAGAGGTCACAAGATGAACTAGTATGGATGTATAGGAAAGGAAGAACAAAGCAAGGCATAAGGAGGGAAACCAAATGATGGCATATATAGTGGCTTGTTTCGTACTTTAGGTTACACTTAGAGATTTTGGCTGGAAAAGGCTTGCAGTAAGATGGATTTGTCTTTAAAATGCCTCTGATAACTGGATTTCTGTGAGCTCTGTAAAAATTAGATCCTGCTAGAGAAATGCTATACCCAAGAATATGCCCAGCATAGTAACATCACACTGGCAATAGTTTTGGCTTTGGGTTTTTTTCTTGTGCTTTTTAGCCTGTTACTTATCAATAAAAGTTACTCCTTTGAAATCTTTCAGTTGATATATAGGTGGGCATGACACATTAAATGGTTTTAAAACACAGACATCAAGCTTACAGTTTGAGCAGCCCAATGGTTTAGTAATTGTAACTGAACCAAAAGTCATTAAAATTATGATGGCATACAACTGTCAGTGTTTTCAGACATTAATATTTTAATATTACTCAGTAGCACGAGAATGGGTAAATAAGTCTTCTCACTAATTGGCAGCTTCATTATCTCCACAAAACTTTTGTATTTCCAAAACTCAAGAGAGTTGGAAGAAACTAGGTAGCTACACACCTTATGTTTGATGTGTCTTAGCTATCTGGCCTTTAGATGACAATAAAATCACCTCATCATTACAAATAGATATCATTTAGTGATTAAACATATCATTATTTTTTTAATTAATCATCTGCAAACCCATTGATTACATTAAAAAATTACTGGAGATGATTGAATTTTACTGTTTCTCTCTTTCTCTGTGTCTTTCTCTTTCCTGCAGTCTCTGCAGAATACTTACTTACAATTTCCATATGTTGTTTGAGATGTTAGCTGCCAGTTTTAAGAACAAAGTATCAGGTTTATTTGTAGGGTAAAAGACCACTACTGTGTAACACAAAAAGCAAAGACAGAACCCAAATTTTTGTATGTGTTTGTGATTCTAATGGACTGCATGGTTTTATTATTTGAAACATTGGGATAACACTGTTTCTGAACAATGAAAACGCAGAGGAAAGAATACAGAACATCTGTACAGATAAAAGTGCCAAAGATTGACTGGTGGTGTACATGTTGGGTTGTATAACCTTCCAAAATAAAAGAAGGAAAACCAGAAAGTAAATATTTTCTAAGATACACTAAGTAGCATCAAATTGCATCTACTCACTCTGGCTGAAAATAATTCAGTAACATCAAGTTCAGCTTTCACAATGCCAAATATTTTTATTTGCTGTACTTTCATTTGAAAATAGTTACAAAATTAGCTGATGCTAGCAAGTCTCCTCTCTGTTCAAATTTATGGCCTCATTATTGCCGTTATTCACACTGATGAGCAGTTACGCAAACTGGTGCATTTTTTGTCAACTGAAAGACTTGCGCAACTTGTTTTGTTTCCAATATGAATAAGGGGCTTACAGTCAGACCCATAAGAGTTAGGTCGGCTTGACTTCAGTGCACATTTGCAAATGTTACTTTCATACGAATAAAGGTTGCAGGATCAAATTTATTCCTGGGAGGGGAAGAGGAGCAAAGATTACTAGGAACATGACCCAAATAGGCAATTTTTATAGTTCAGAAATATTCCCTACTTTTATAATGTTCAATGACAGTTTATGATGGGCTTTATTTCTTTTTAAACAAACAAATTACCCTCTAAAATATTGACTTTGCTGCCTGTGAATGGAAGTGACAAGGCACTGGAGCTCATGTCAAAGATTTCAGCCCTCTTGGGCCTGGAGGGAAATCTGTCCTGCTTCCCCATTTGCAGGTAGGAACACGAGCCGAAGACTACCCAAAGTCATTGGAGGAGCTCCCATTAACATCCTAAGAGAATAAGTGGTGTTTTATGTTTATGTCTTTAATAATTCTGAAATGTAATATGTATCCAGTTGTTGTTTTTAATTATTTTCTGATTTCTAAATTACTGTATCAGCATGTCCTGATTATAAGCAGGTTTTAAAACTGCTACTAGGGACAGAGGCACTTGACTGTGTGATTATTTTAAATGTGCTTACCATTTTGACAGTGGAGAAGGATCACTTTGTCTGGATAATAACATTTGTTCAAAACAATCATGAAGGGACGTGTTGGTGTTGATTTGAATAAGGCGCTACCCTCAAATATAACAAAACAGGATAACGATCTCCTCAGGAGCAATAGTGCTACCGTTGTTATATTAAATAGGATGTCAGATAATAATCTCCACAGGAGATGTCTTTTGCTGTAGACATATTAAAGGCAAGTTTTTCATTTTGTTCAGGTCCGGAATGCTACATTTTGAGCATCTAGTTGCAAGAGAAAAAGAGAATAATCTCATATATTCTCTCAATGGCTTGTGACAGTTCAGACTGTGTGCAACAGTGCAGCTCTCTACAGCGTCATGTTGTAAAGTGAAGAGAAAATGTAAACACTAAGTTGAATTAGTGTAAGACTGCATGGTAAAGATGAAAAAGCATGCCTGAAGCCTGTTTCTGTCAGTTATTTGCTGTCTGTAATCCAAACGACAGTTCTTGCTGCATAACAGGCCAGTTCTAGCTCTGAGGCAATGGGAAAGGCGCAGTCTCATAAATGTTCATATTGTTAATTAACGTGTTTCTTAGTATTAATATTTTTAAGAGATTGCTTATAGTTATTCTACTTCTACTTATGACAGATAGCTGTCTGTGGCTGCCAAGGCAGCTTGCATAGCTTCTTGTTACAAATATTCCTCTGAGGAGTTCCCTTTTGACATTGGAAATGCTTTCCCCATTTGACTGTTCAGCTTGTATTTGTGCCATTTTCATTCTGACAGAAGCTTATTCCTCAACAAGGCACTGTCAAAGTTTTTCTCATAAATTGTGAGATTGTTTTTCTCCTCCCATTGTCTTTTGCATATGAACCGTTGAGAATGTTGTCTTACTAAATTCTATGGTCTTGCTCAGAATCTTTCATTGGGAGGGAAGTTTGTCAAGTCCTGAAATTTTGTATGGGATCTCTAGGTTGTGCTTCTACCTGCGCTATGCTGTAGCATTTTGTGAACGTCTTAAATTTCTTGATGTTCTTAAAGAAATTATTTATTTTTCTCTTCATTAGCCCAAAAGCGAAAGAAAAAAAAAATTAGTGCCTCTTTCTCAAGGACCGATATTAATGAGAATTCCTTTAATACATAAAGTGTTTTGTGACCAAAAGGAATTTTCTCCCTGAAATGGTCAAATGACCTGTTTCAGTAATGTTTTAAAAATCTGTCCTTTAGACTTGTCCCAGCCTCTGTATCTATAGAAAACTGATAATTAAAGAAAAGATAGTAGACAGCTGCTGAGGATATGTAGTATGTATTTATTTAGTTACAGTCCAGAAAAATTTTAGGTGCTAGAAATAATCAACTGAGGCTGAATTGACTTAATAATTATATTTTCTTACTACTATCTGCTTCCTCCCATCTTCATGATCTCCTATCACCAGTCTCACTGTATTCAGTTTAAAACTGCATCTTACAGTATCTTTTTCACAGTTGTGCCATTTCTTCTCTCTGCATCCCAATGCAAGAGCAAGGTCTTAAACTGTCATTCACAAAGTGATCCTTCCTTTTCTTTAAGCAAAAGGAAACCTTCCTTCCATCCTAGGCACTACTGTAATAGTAAGCAATAGTACCAAAGAGCAAAGTATTCTTATGTATTGGAGAGAAAAGGCTAGTTATCAATGCTTTTCATTGTCTGAAGACAAGTTTGGACGTGTCAGAGAGGAAGAGTCACACTGTGCCTGAAGGCAGTTCCTCGGTTAGATCCCAGTGTTGTTCATCCCAGCTCCTTCTGTCCTATCACCAGCCTCAATAACAAATAACTAAGCTCTGTATCTTTCACTGCTTCTGTCATTTGGTTTTGCCAGTTGGCTGTAAGAGGTGTTCTAGTGATTTGCAACTGTGCACATGTTGATCAAGATGTTTTAAATGTGTCTAGCGGCTTGGAGTGCTTCTGTATTTTGATTGAGCAACTTCTGTGGGGACTGGTTTCCAGAGGGGGGTATGTTTTCTGAAATTGGCCTCGTTAAGATTTCTCAGGATATATATCTACTCTCTGTTTTTAAGTTTTAGCTTTAGAGACACGGAACTTTCATTATGTACTGAGTTTAGTGCTGAATAGTCCAGCTGCCCTCGCGGTCACATGGCTTTTCAGTCCTCCAGGCCTTTTATGGCTGGAAAGGTCATAAGCATTTGCAGAAAGATGAGGGTCTATTGGTCCAGGGATGCACACCTAATATGGATTAATAAACTGGGAAGCATTAAGAAAATTATTACAAGAACAGTTTTTTGAAGATCTACAAATAATAATACAGTTGTTGTTGCTTTGTACTATACCCCAAACTCTCTTGACTGGTCACTTGCCTTTCTAAGCATCTCACCCGTGTTAGACAGTGGTTAACTTATGTAAGTCTGATGGGTAACCTGGTTGCAAAAGGACAAACTTTGACTTTTTGCATTAGGTCTCACATATCCTTAAAAAAAAAGATCTAGAAATTATTCCCCTAAGGCTCTTAAATATTTTTTTCCCCCACAGAACAGTTAAGTGAATATTGATGTGATTTTTCAGAGCTGCCTTTTAAATCTGTCTCAGATACCTTTTGCTTTTCAATAACTTTTTCAAGTATAGGCAACTTCAGAAAATTGAGTGGCTTTGAGGGTGACAGAGCACTGGAACAGGCTGCCCAGGGGGGTTGTGGAGTCTCCATCTCTGGAGATATTCAAAGCCCGCCTGGACGATGTCCTG